TGCTACGTGGGTTGGCTGGGGTCCTGGCGTCCTCTATATAAGCCACCCCCCTCCACTCGTAGAAGGGTTCGCACCCCTGTAATCCTTATACACATAAACCAGTCGACCGCCTCCGGGCTCCGAGACGTAGGGCTATTACTTCCTCAGAGAAGGGCCTGAACTCGTTAAACACGCGTGTGTACAACTACTCCATAGCTAGGATCTTGCCTCTCCATACCTACCCCCCATTCTACTGTCAGACTTAGAACCACGACAGATCCAACACTTGTTACCTTTGAAGACTGTGCTTCTTCTAGATGGTTAGGCGTCATGGTCTAGAGCATCCAAGAGGAATTGTGGATCACCGAGTGACCTAGTCTGTGAAGATTTGGAAGTCACCTGAAGACTTACCACGAGTGATTGGGCGAGGTCTGTGTGACCTTAGCTCAAGGAGAATATGGTGAGGACTGTGTGTCCTCGAGTTTAAATACTCAGCCGCTCCAACTAGACGTACAACTAAGACAACAGTTGGAACTGGTCTACCAAATCGTTGTCTTCACCGAGCTTACTGGTTCTATTTCCTCAACTCTTTCATTTCCTCATTTTTTTTATTGTGTGCTTGTTCATACTTTCTCAATTTCCTCAGGTTCAATTTCTTCAGTATGTGCGTCTTCATCATGTGCTTACGCTTTCTGTACTCTGTGCTTGTCTTCATTTCATCAAGATGACTGTGTTTGTATTCTGCTGTGTTTACTTTTGAGTACTTATTCCGCTGCAAGTAGTTCTTCATTTAGGAATTTCCTCACCAGCAAATTCCTCAGTGAAGAATTCATAAAAATCGCCTATTCACCCCCTCTAGTCGATATAACGCACTCTCAGTGACAGGACCGAAACACCCACCACTTCTGCCTCTGCATCAGGTCTTCTCCCTCCGTTTCCTCCATGGCCCAAAACAGAGCAGCCAGGGAACTCACCGACACATCAGACTGGGTGGTCATCCTATTTGGAGTGAGCCGCTCGTCCTCCTCCACTGTCATGTTTCTGAAGACAGACTTCGCCGCCCTCCGCATCTTCTTCCTGGTCGAAAACCAGGAGATGATCTCGCGCGCCCTCTCCATCTTCGCATCATCTCCGCTCGCGAGCTCCACCTTGGCGCGTTCCATCTTCATCCTCCGATCGGCCATCCCCGCCGGATTCACGTCTCTCTCTCAGGGTGTGGATGCAGCGAGGTGTGGTGGGTGGGGATTTTTGTTTCCAAGTGCATTGACTCGCCTTCGAGGGTGGGGGATTTATTGCCCACCTTCCCCTCGCATTCATGGCGGTCGCTCGTCTCAGCCCCATAGCCACCATTTCCACACGCCACCGAATCCCCAACCTAAGCAACGTGACAGGGCAGCCAAACTACTAATCGCCATGAAATCCTCTCACTATCACGCAAACTCCGGCTATCAACTACCCTATCTTCTCCATCAAGCAGTAGGATCCTATGGATCTCACCTTGGACTAGGAGTGAGCCCTTCTGGTAGCAGAGGAGCCCCACCGACAAGAGATTCAGGATGTATAGAACCGTCCATCTCTTCTCGCTCTGCTCGCCGATGTCACGTAGCTCGCCGTCGGGTGGATTCGCACCACCGTGAAGGTCGTCTCCTGCGACGTCGCCTCTCTGGTCGCCCGTGTGTTTGCGTGTCGTGTTTGCCATCTCCCCAATTGGACGCGCGTACGTCGTCGCTTCTCGACAATATGAGATAATGGTGATCCAATGAATTTAATGTTTGGTTCCGGTCTTATGACCTTAATTATGGAAACGGTCACTTTGTGGCAATGGAGAAGCAGGACCATAGAATGAAATGTAACCTCTAGTGAAGGAATTTCATGACTCTAGGGAGAACCGCCTACAGAAAGTTTATATCAAATATTATGATTGCGATGCAAGGTAACTGGTATTACCATCGCACTGGCACAATTTGTATATTCTTACCATGAACTGATATCTCTTCGCACCAAATCTCTTCATTGCAGGAAACACCATTTACATTTTAAGTTTTGTTATTTACTTTTGTTAGTTATCCAGTAGACACTTTTTAAATCCTCTTCACTAGCATATTTGGTTTATCGGTTACCCTGATCAGTAATAGGATTTGGAGAAGCTCAAGCAGTACTTCACACAAGAACTGTGACACCTTATGTGTGACAGAAACACTCCATAATTACTCTGCTCCGCGCTTTTTTTGTGACAACTACTCGTTGGGATACTTTTGCGGAAGTGCTACACTATCCTGTTTGGTCTGCAGGTACCACCGTAGGGGCTGTCGCCTTGCAACAGCAAGCATCGCCCTTCGCGCATCATTTGTCATCTCTCACAGGGTGGAAGTAGTGTATGGGGAGCTCCGACAACCGGGGTAGGAGGGGTGAGGCTTTTGGCGCTGGGTGCGAGGGAGGAAGGAATCCCGAAGGGGAGATTTAGGAGGTACAAATGTTGTCGCGGGTCTAGAGATGAAGACAAAGCCGAGAAGCTTCGGAGGAAGATAACGACGAGGAGTAAAACAAGAAAGAAATGGAAGAAAATGACAATGGAGAGGCAAAGAGAGCATGCACACGGGACCGCATACACATGGCAAGCATGCGGTTAAAATAGCCCCCCCCCCTCCCCCCCCAAAAAAAGCATGCCATTAGAAATTTCAAATGTTATATTTTTTAATGATATGACTTTTGTGATAGTACAGTTTATCACATTGATCGAATTGATGATCTACGAATATGCGTAGGCCTTGCAAACCGTGGATGGATTTTCCAAGTGGTTCCGTGGACTCCCTCATCGAAGCTGGTGCTTCCGTTCCGTCGGCGCGCTCACCATTATCCACGGGAGAAGAGTTCTCCCGCGGATGGAGCACGGCTCCTCTCAGGAGTGGTAAAATCGGCGCCCCCGGTTTGTCGCCCATCCATCCATCCGCACTGTATAGCCAGCTTCCTGTATTGAAATCGACGGATCGGAATCGGATACCCGCCGTTTCTGCACTTGGACGTAAAGACAGAGGTGGCCGCATGTCGCACCTGCCAACTGGACGAGATAACATGTCCAATACCGGATACACTTGCCCTGGGAAGGTCTACGTGTAGTCGTCTAGTGTAAATAAGCTGGGAAATTGTCTACCTGCGCCTCGAGATATTTCTATCGCCGGGGGAGTCGATTGCTGACAGCGATCGGCGAAAATATCGGCATTGGACATTCGACTCCCTACAAAACTGCAGTTTTGCAGATCTTGCATCACCACCATGAAAAGAAAAGGTACAATAATCACCAAAAGATATGTATTGAATTCCAGTTTTTATCCTTTACTTTGATGTTTTGACATAAATTATCTCATTTGACAGTTTTTCATCCGGCTTACTCCATTCAGTGAGATTTTTGCCGGTTTTTAGTTTTTTACCCCATTTAGCGAAAGGTTTGCAAGTTTTTTATCTTATTATTCATCTAACATGTGGACTTCGGTCGTCAGTTACACGTGATAGTGCCTTGTCGTAATTTTTCGTTCTAGCGTTTTCTCCCTGAGCCCAAATTGTTAGACTTGGCCAGATATAATTTGTTTTTTTGGATTGCTTGGTGTACGTATCCACCTCCTCCCCCTCACACAACTACTTCCCCCGTCCCATAATATAAGAGCACTTTGACACTATTTTTTTTTGCTAAATGCCTTCTTCTCATTCTTCTTCACCATATTTGCTTTTAGGTGTTGCGTCATACTGGGCATAGCTTGACGACTCTTTTTTTGGCAAAAGAAAAAAAACCACGATAGATCCCTTGTGTCCGTCGTCGTGGGAGCCGCAAGCGCCACACACATCATGGGAGAGGATGCGGCGGCTTCAATGGCTAGTGTAGTGCGGGGAGAGTTCGCACCATCGGTGCGCGGTATGGATGGAAGGTTCATGTCCGACAACACATTCAGCCAAACAGGCTGCGTCCCAGCACGACAACACTATTGGGGAGAGTGGGGGAGGTTGCTAGGGAGGAGGCAGCGACGAGGAAGGAGGCGATGTCTAAGCTTTTATAGTCGGGAATGGCGAGGTGATGTCATGTGGTGTCCATCCAACAGACCGCCAACCATGGGAATCCAAGGGAGCGACCGTGATATTAGTAGGGCCGGTGGTGCGTCACATCTCCCGCTGGTGATTATTGGGCGCGATGGTGCGTGCAAGGGAGCTTCAAGATCCAGTTGTGGTGCGAGGACGAAGAGGGTGAAAACTTTCATCTCACGCCGACACCGCCACTTTTTGGCGACTTTCACTTTCAACCCGATTCACCGCCTACGTGCCCTTTACGCCC